TAAACTTTTTTATATATACTAGTATGAATCCCGTGCGATGCACGGATAAGAAGTATTCATTAATATTTATAAATTACAAATTCTCATTATATAATATTTATAAATTAGAATTATGAAATCAATATGTAATATATTTACCTATATTAATTTGTTGAAAATGTTATATTAAATCTAAATTGTGCAAAATTATAACATGTCTATTTAAAATTAGTACACGACGGCACGGTGCAAGTAACTGATAATAAGTTACAACATATCCATTTCAAAATAGATGTCATTTTAAAAATTTTATTCAAAAATTTGATTTGATTACAATATGATTTAAGTAAAAACAATCCTTTATATATACAACACACACACACGCGCGCGCACACACACACACACACCAAATAATTTGAAATGTTCCACGCACATTTACAAAGAATAATCGACAATAGTATTATTCAGATTTTCTTTCTCTAATATCGAGTAAAATGTTTAACAATATGAAAAAAAAAAATATATTGAGATGTCATTTATTACCATAAACGGATATATTGGATCAATATATAGTATACCAAATAATTCGATTTCATATATTATCGATAAAATTCAAAAAATGATATTCAGTTTAACCACAAAATTAATTGTCCAGCGTACAAAACAAAATCAAGAGTCACATTTATAAGTTTATTATATATACAAAATAAAAAAAGACCTAAAAAAAGTTATTAAAAAATAATTAAATAGAAATTGTCATTAACACAATTATTTTAGAATAATTTTATAAGAAATTATAATTGAATAAATCAATCGAATTTATATGAGGTGTCTTAAAAATGTAAATTTTTATTGTGTATTTATTTCCTTAATTATCCATGATTTGATAATTAAGTTTGATCTACACTTTCCATTTTATGCTCTTGCTAGGTAATTGCTAGGTAATTGGATTGGACAAAATTAAGTGATTTTACATAATTGCGTAACTATATTGGACTATAAATAATCACTTGCTGAAGGATTTTGATAATATTTGATAAATTATAAATTAACTATTCTAATTTAATCACTTGCCGAATGTTTAATTAATTTATTATATAATAAATTATATAATTTTAGTTGAATTTCTTTTACCAAATCACATAATTGATAAATTCCATATTTAGGTAATTCAACCAATTCTTATTTGAGTAATTAAGGTATCTTAAAAATGAATATGTCATATGTTATTATTTGAAATACACCATAAATTGTTAAATTAATTTGAGTAATTAATGTATGTTAAAAATAAATTTTTATATGACTTAATTATTTTCTTAAATAATGAGCCGCAATTTTCATAATTGATTATTTGAAATATATCATAAATTGTTAAATTAATTTCTCAAGATAGTAAATAGATTTTTTTTTTGAGGGAAACAGTTACTATTTAAAATATAATCAAACATTTTTTTTTTTATATATATAGATCTCGTAATGCTTTCATAAAAAAAATCAACAAGGATTGCCTCAAGTGATAAGTAGTTTGATGTCCCTTAAGCAATGTCTCGAGTTGAGTCCTTGTGAATGCAGAAAATCATGGGTGGGTTATTTATTTAAAAAAAA